TTAATTTTATCAAAAAGTAATATCTTTACTGAATTTTTAAGTAACGGAAGAATTATCACTGAAAGCAACAAGACTGATTGTAAAATACGGTACTGGAATAACCTTTCTGCAATCTATTACGATGAACAACTGTTGGCAAAACTGCTCAGTGGAAAAAATTTCTTTTCAATTTACAAAAAATGAGATTTGAAAATTCTGGAATTTGTCTTTTTTTTCAGGCTGAAAATATCCCAGGTGATCTCAGAATCTGGAGTTCGCAGAAAATCCGTGCGGCACAAACGGCGCAGGAACTGAGTGATCTTGCAGCGCACGTTGAATTCCTAAAAGTGCTCGATGAAATTGATGCGGTTCGCTCACTATTACAGATTTTTTTAGTGGGGAAAATTTTGAGGTTTAAACTAAAAAGCCACTCGACTTCATTTCAAATGAAATACCTAATTTAACTGTCTCTCGAAAAGTCGTGTATTGGCGCATTTCTTCAGGGTATCTGCGAAGGTCTTACGTACGACGATTTCGAAGAAAGGTATCCAAAACAATTTGCCGATCGCGACAGAGACAAGTATCACTATCGTTATCCATCGGGAGAAGTAAGCCTACGAATCTTTCAGCACTGTTTGTACCGAATCCATTCAGTCAGTCATCAGTCTTATTTTCGTTCGCGTGGGTGTCTGCAAAATTATAAATTCCATAGAGCAGCGATCAGCAGGGATATGTTTTGCCTTCTCACATGCTTTAGCTTGTTTGACATACACCCGCACTCGATTTACTATAGCAGTGGGACCAATCATTAGTAAAAAGAAAGTAGATATTATTTGGTGAAAGTGAGTTTCGCAGTAACTAAAGCTTCAACGGAGTAGCTGGCTTTGGTCACTATGAAAGCTCACCTTGAACAAATAGTGTCTACACACATTCTCGTAGTTCATTTAAAAATTTGTCTAATCAAATATTCACAGAATACCTTAGCTGTTGTTTCCATTTAAGCAAGGTGTTTGCGCTAACATTTCTTCCAAGTGTTGGCTACGAAACAAAAGAGAACAGTGTTAGCCACAAAGGTTTTGAAGGAAGGCAAATAATTTAAGACTACAACCGCCATACTGGTGGGGTCCAGTTATGCTACTCGACAGAAATGTATACGACGTAAAGGACCAAAAAATTCCTAGCTGTTAAATTATTATTTGATCTTATATGCCTAAATTTTGGTAAAACGTATCTTTAAATCATTTCCCTGAAATCCTGGTGAAAGATCTATCTAGATATTCCAAAAAGAACAATTAAGAAATATCTTATCATTTACTTAATATTTGGACACGAAAACTGCATATTACGAGAATTGGTAAATGAAAAAATAAAAATAACGCCACTATCTGGGGGGCAGTGAACCATACACTTCTAGAAGAAGCATTTCTTTTACTTCTTATATGCGCTATGTGTGTAGAGATTTCTGTTACATCTGCTAACTCTGGTAATCACTCAGCCAATGTGTTCTGTTTTCAGAGCTACGAAGATTTGGTTGGTCGCCTTGAGCCCGTAATTATGGAGCTGGAGCGGCAAAGCAACGTTCTTGTCGTATCTCATCAGGTATTCGAAAATTTTGTAGCCATCGTATTTCCGATAATTTTTATGTGTTTTTGCTGTGCAGCGCTACTATTGCGCTGCTACAGCCAGCAAAAACGCATATTGTCGAGAGGCTGTCTGTGTGTGTGTGTTCGGAAAGC